CCACGCTGCCATCAAACGTGTCTGGTTCTGGAATAGGTGGATCTCGGCGGGGACTGGCAGAACGGGGAGCTGAAAGTGGAGCTGGGGTGGCAGCGTGACCGTGCTGTGACAGGAGGAGTGAGTTGAGTTGGGCTACCTGTTGGGTTAAAGAGGATATGTCTTGTTGCTGCTGCTGCAGTGCCTGAGCCATTCTGTCCATTTGGGCAGTGAAGTGTGAGGTATAGGAGTCACTCCTGGACTGGTCGGGTAGGAGATGAGGATGGCAGAGGAGGGAATATCAGAGAGACAGATTACTGGAGACTGTGCATCGACCTGTGAAGGCGGTGGCTGGAGGCCTGAAGACAAAGAAAGAACTAGCAGGGGAGTGATCGGTGAGCAGCGTATAAATAAGGAGGGAGACTGACGAGGCGCAGCTGGTGAGAATCAGTGAATAGAGGCAGGTGTGTCTAATCGTGTAATCAGTGCAAGGGAGCTGGCTAGTGCGAGGAAAAGAAGAGAGGAAGGTGCCACCGGGCAAACCTGACAGAGTCGTTTCGTGAGGTTTGTGAGTTTCTCTGGAAATATGTATTCACCATTTTTCAGCCATTTCCGTGATTGGGAAAAATGTTTCTGGGTCAGTGTACATCGCATGATGAAACACAAAATGGCAACTATGCCAAATTACTTTACAGTCCAGTGCCATCCCTGCAGGTCTGATTCACCCCTGTATGCCCCTCTGACCAAATGCACTCCCACTTCAGATATTTAGATACAGCAGATCAGATGAAACTGTTTGTTTTAGATTGACAGATTTGTTTCATAGTAGTAGTAGTACTGCGGTTTGTTTAATTGAATTCATTATAGCTGTCTGTTAGCCAAGTACATTACAGTAAAAGCCATTTGTCAAAGTACATGTAATCCTCTTTTGAAATAACTTTAATTACAGGTTCAGCTCTACCTTCTGGCAATGTTGGAACAAAGCTGGTACCAGCATTTCCAGTTGTACATGCTGAAAAGAAAAGAATGCTGTTCTCCCACTGGATCAGTGACTTACTTCAAGCAGCAAGACAAAGCTACCTGTCAGAAGTTCCATACTAATAAACTTAGGACAGTAAATCACAAGTTATCTATAATGTTAACGGCCAACTTGAATAATGTAATTGTCATCCACAGTACAGTTTACTATACATACCTTCTGGAACAATAACAAAAGAAGTTGTGCATCTAGCTTGGATGCACTGGGTGACCATAACAATCACAGAGGACAGAATCTGATAGCACTTAAATTACACCCATATTCTGGTAACGATTACACACTGTAACTTCATCTGCCACTGTAAACTACATTTATTTGAATAGGACTGTAAACTGATAGAAAGTATGGCACAGGATCAGCCTCCAGCATAGGTACTCTACACTGGGGTGGAGCTGGTGCCTGTTGGTTGTTTGGAAATTCAGATGGAGGCCAGGAAGTGAAAAGTAGAATGAATGAAATGGAGAAAGTCCCTTACTGAGCTGGTTAATATGATATTTTGCCACAGAAATGTATACACAAAATCACAATACCTGTTGGATATGAACGTTATAAAGACAAATGATTTTTCAACTGAATTTCAAGAGCTGCCTGCTATCCAGGTACTATTTTGTCCTCCAGACATCCTTTTAGTCAAAAAACAAATGAACAAATGAAAGCATACAAATGTATGGAGGAAAACAATTTTTCTTTAGCGGTTGGTTCCTTTTATTGTCCTGTGGATTAATGTGGCAACAAACATTTAATACCAAAGTGCTTCTCAGCGCTATTGTTAGCATTGTTTACTTAACTCTTTCATGCATGGTGTCCACGTTTTAGGACAGTCACTAAGATGGGGGCTCCAAACTGGTTTGGAGCAGTATCTGTACATCCATAGCAATATTGTAACAGTAGTTAATATCTTGTATTTTAAAAGCTACTTGATTGCTGACACCCTCAATAAAAGATGGCTGACGATGTGCAAAACGTTTCAGGTATAGCTGTGAAAACATTCTAATCAAAAAGGTCAATGCAGGCGGAAAAAATATTAGTTTACACAGGAAACTGTGATGAACATTTCTGTTTTTTTTTTGTTTTTTTTTACATAATTTTCTATTCTAATTCAGATTCTGATTCCATTATAGGAGTCTGGGGGGAAATAAATGTCTTCACTCTCCTTTCAGCTGTCTTCTGAGGGAAACATCTGGCTCTTTAGCTGCTAAATACTCTGTTATGTTCACTAGCTAGTCTTTAACTGTGTGTGCCTGCTGTTTGGTGATGACAAGGTAGCGTAGAATGGGTTTTAGAGCGTTTTCACTGACAACAGCTGCCTCCTGCTGCTTGTAATAACACCGATGACCAAAACTGTTAAATTGTGGCCTGCAAAACTCAATAAAGTCACTAAAATGCTACACTGTGCAGCAGGGGAACAGCAGCACCACCTGATACAGTAAGGCTTGTCATTTCAAGGGATTATTCTGAATATTTCTATCTATTGTTAACATAGGAACAGGTCTTGTCTTTGTGGAGATGAACCACATGACTTACTGCTGAGTAATGTTATTACATCCGGGCTGTTGTTTTGTCATATGCCAGTAACTGAGTAGCAACTGAGCAGGTTTGAAGGAATTTTCATGATCTGCTGTTGATGCTGCACATGAACCACACTTCAGTTATTGTATATGTGTACACACGAGGCAGTTCAGGACCTCAGTGGTGTTCATGCAGAGTCAGATACATGTCACTTTTAAACATGAAAGTGAACCATCAACACAAAAAGATTGACTCTGACGAAAAGCTTGAAATTGAGAGTGAAGGCCTGTGATGTGAACATAGACTTTGGTTTCCCCACTTTGTGGTTAGTTTTTTAATAAACAAAAGCAATCTAATGAACCAGTTCATTTACAGTATCACTCTAAAGGATGGTGTGTTGATGTTAAACTGTACCGCCTTATACAGAGATGTGTTTTTAGCATCACTGATGCAAATTAGGTGGACAAAATAACAGAAACAGCTGTCAGTATAACCATCATCCTAATCTATAGTGAAGGTGGAGATGACTGTTGGAAAAGATCATCTTTAGTCACTTAAAGATGCAGCGTATTCTGATTTTATACCAAATTTACAAAGTGAGCCACTGAGTTCCTTTGTTATCGCTCACTGCACACACGAGACTATTTATATTTAATATTATAGATGATCATTTCTGACTGTTTTTCTATTATAAATCTTTCAAGTTAAGGCTGAAACAGAATATGTGATATTCCCATGCACCATTCACAGGCGAGCAACCTGTGAATCACACTGTGATAACAGTAGAGAGGTCAGGATCAGAATAATCCCGATTAGCTCTTACCTTACACAAAGGTGACATGGTAATACCATAAAAACTACCATGGTAATTTGACTTTGTGGAGACGAACAACATCACTTACCGGTGAGGAATGTTATTTTATCTAGGCTATTGTTTTGTTATATGCCAGTGTGATTTTGAATAAGGTTCTATTGTTTCTTAAAACATGCAGAAGGTCTAGTTTCTCTTTCACTTTTCATTGCGTAACTGGTAAAGATTAGGATAAAACTTTAGGTCACTTTTACATTTTTACACTCCCTACATATTTTTTTTATACAAAGTGCTAAAGATTTCCTTTTCTTGTCATACGATTAAGTGCTAATTTCCAGTTTCCAAGTTAAGGCTTAAACAGAATATGTGATATCCTGTGAATCATTATGAAAACCGTAGAGGGGTTGTTTGTTCACACTGCCAATCAAGCTGCTGGTCCTCAGTACAAATGTGACAGGATGATGACAGGGATGCTTAACATGGAGTCAAAGACACTCCTGCACAGATGATCAGATCAGGTTAGAATCCAATGACCAGGTGTTTCATATCTCAGCATGATTATAACAAAGAAGAGTGTTTTCTTCTAGTGTTAAGGTAAAGGTAAATAATACATTTTGATGACATGACACAGAACAGAAGCTGATTGAAGCTGAATAGAGTTTAAAATAATGTTGTATAAAATTGTTTAAATTGCCCCCCCTTTCCCCTCCCACTAACACAGATCCCATATGAAAAACGGGTCTATTATGCAATCAGGACATTGTGTACAACTAGTTAGTACCATATGTCCTAACCTGCTGGCAAAGTACGGCAGGTGTGCCTGTGTGAGCGCGTGTGCGCGCCTGTCTGCAGGCTGACTGCAGTCTTCAAAATGTTGAAGTAGTCATAAACCTGTGTTCAGCCAATAGGAGGCTTGTGTTAATCCCAGCTCAGTAAAAACCCAGTGTGAGACCCAGAGCAGGCTCTAATCCGAACAGACAGTCAGTGGAGACAGAGAGGCGGAGGGACTCTGGAGCTTTCTGTTGTGGAGATGCCCGATATCGATCCAAACTTTCTCATCACTTTTTTGCATTTTGGAGGTTTCTAAAACTTATCCCAGACGAGGGGAGAGAGCGAAGGAGAGAGGGGGAGAGAGAGAGAGAGAGAGAGAGAGAGAGAGAGAGAGAGAGAGACCACTTCTTCCACACATATCTTTATTCCAGCGGCTGTTCGAGGAGATTGCCCTGCGCTGCTGTTCGAACATCGCCCACACATTCTCTGGATATCTCGTATATCCCGTTGAATCCAGTCGTCATGTCCCCCGGTGATGCCGAGCAGCAGAGTCGGCGGGTCAGCTTGCTGTCTTGGGATCAGGTGCGGCGCTTGGACTCCATTCTGAGGGAGAGCATCCCGATCCACGGCCGCGGAAACTTTCCCACCCTGTCCGTCCAGCCCCGGCAGATTGTTCAGGTGAGACCACGCTTTACACACCTGCCCTTTAATATTTTTTATCATCCAAATAGACCGTACTCTGCAGGAGCCCACGTGACTAGTGGGCTCCGTGGAGCGGATCACAAGCACCAGTAAAACCATCAATATGAACAAAATGTGTACTTTTGTTAGTTTGATCCACGTTGGTCGACCTCAATGTAATGCAAAACTTAGACTAACTTCCCTGGGTGAGACATTTTAAATTTACTGCTTTCTATGGATTCAGAATAAGAAAATAACGGCGCCTGCGCGTCATAGTTAAAATGTTGACAGTATTAATTTCACAGTATTAAGGAATTTGTGTGCACCCCACCTCCCCCCCACACACGGATACACACAAACTGACAGCCCAACACTGAACATATCCACATCTTGACAAGTGATACAATAGCAATGAGACCTAACATGTTAAATACAATCATGTTGCTTTTGCTGAACCAGACATTTATTCCAGGGAAATTCCCACAAGTGAAAGTACTTAGAAATTTATGTCTCTACATTTTATCACACAAAACAGTTGAAGTCCACACATGGGGTATGTACATTTTAATATGTACATTCAGGTTTTTAAAACAAAGTAAATTCATAAATTCCCACATTTGTCTTTCCAAGACCTGGAGCACTTTTTAAGAGGCTTTCAAACACCAGCTTTTAGAAAATTGCCCCACTGTTTAGTCAGTAACTGATGAGACAGACAGGTTTTCCTCTGTCACCAGTATTTGTCCTGTGGGCTAATGTGCTAGCGCCGTGGATGTAGCATTACTCATAGCACAAAGATAAACATTTTAGTCATCCAGACGTGGTTTTTGTGTATAGATATTGTTAGTTTAAGAAAACAAGCTTTTGTTGCTGAAATTCAGTAGCAGCACAAAACTTGCCAAAAATGTTTTGAAAACAAAAGATAGTATATTTGAGAAGTTATGGAAAATATTTTTTGTGAATCATATCCATTAAGTATAACCAATTGAACTTAGAGATGATACACAATCTCATTTTGTTCATTTCAGGGTTACAATAGTTGCTGGTGATTTTAAAAAGCCTTTATTTCTCAGATAGACTTCTCTGTCTGGTGCTGAAGTTGATGATAAAATACTGGAACAAGGGAACCACTGGGTTTTGATATTGTATTAATTACAAGTACATTTTACTTACACACATATTTTTGCATGCTGTCATGAATTTTAATGCAATATTATGCATGTGCGTGCTCATTTGAAAAGGCTGCAGTGTGTCACTATTATTTTGACAAAAATAAAAAAGACACAATGTTTCCTGCCATGGAACGTGTCAAGCAGGTTTCAAGTTTCTTCAAGCTGATTTTCATACCATATGGATGTGAATGGAAACCACCGGCTGACTGGAAGGAAGGAAAGACACATACAGAGATCTAAACTACTATTATATGTTTTGGGAAATTGTTGACAGTAATGTGAGCTATTCGTGAGTGATGGTAAATTGGCCAGTGAAACCACCGCCCAGCTCCTTTAATGAGATTTATTTTTAGCCTGTGCACCAAACAGAGCTGTACCTCAGACTGACAGACAGATTTCAGAGCCGGTCCTGTCGTCACACGTCGGGTAAGGTGACCAACTGATCGCACTCCCACAGAGTCTCTCAGGGGGGGTTTGTCTGAGGACCATCTGTTTGTGGTCTGGTTGTGAGTGATCTGTGGAAGACTTGCAGGACAACTTGTCACTGACACCTCTGTACTATCTGTTTCATTTAATGTTGACAGTTAAGAACCCACAGAATATTTTGTGAAGCCCGGTGTGTGTACCCATTAGCATGATAAAAACAGATATGTGCATGTCATAGGTGTGTGGGGGTGGAGACATGGAGGTCATTGTGTTTTTGTTGGCTACCAAGAGGGCTGTCTCTTATTACAGCTCTGCAGGCTATGATATAACTATATTGTTGTGTCTATAGCACGTCTGAGATGGGTTTCTTCCATTTTTTTTCTAGTTAGTGGTTTGCTTTCACAAGTGTCTTTTTCATTATTTTTATTTGTATTTTTTGTTTTTGTTTTACTGGAAGTCATATTTCACTTCTCTGGATGGTAGTGAGTGGCCTTGGATTTGAAGTTTAGATTGTAAGGAGTGGATTAGTGTCTGTAATAACTCTGGGCTTATGTGTCAGGCTTGACAACCTATCACTGTGGTAAGTGAAGACCAGTCTCCTGACTTCGCTGTGGCCCTGGGCAGACTGTGAACCAATTCCTTATTGTTGAGACTGAGCAACATGAAGACAACACATGCTCCCAGTGCTCCCTAGAGGACCTACGGTAACTTGGAAGCATTCAGTTTAGAGTCCTGGGAAATTATTTTTAACTAGCAAGATGATGATTAGTTAAATATTTACTTACATTAATAGACACTATCACATAACTATTCTTACTGTAGCTTTCCTCACAGGTTTTATCTTACATGTCTACTTCAGCAAAATAATACAACAACATTATCCCCTAAATGGGTCCCTTCAATACAATTCTATCAATGTTTTAGCAGTCTGGGACAAAAAAAAGTGCGTGAACCCTTCATGGCAGATGACCAAATCTTACATTAAAAACATCCATTACCCACTGAGGAGAAACAGCATCTCGTTTCAGCCTGTGACTCACTCTAGTCTAAGCAGACTGGTGAAATGACCACCTGTACTTAGGAAACTCAAGGAAGCTTTTCAAATAAGAGGAAAAACCATCATCATCCCCCACTGCCTGCCAAGCTACCGTACAACTGACTGGCTGAGTTAGTTTTGGCCAGGGACTTGTAACTCTTCATTTGTTGTCACCATTCCCTTGGCAGGAGGATAATTTGACTTGGTGCCCAGAGCCCGTATTGGTGTCCAGGGGACTACAGGCTGGTTAATGGCTGGGTCATTTCAAACCGCTATAATAAAAACACATTCAGGCCACAGCTTAAATGAAGCACTCAAGGAAACTACTGAGACTGGAGAAAGAAAGCAGAGGGACTTATGTGTCACCAAGGCGTTGTCAGCACCAGACAGTCTGGTGTGTTAGTGGCTCTTTTTACAAGGCTTTTCTGCTCGAACATCAGCGGATGTGTCTCTCCTTGCTTGGCTCACCAGGTGCTGGTGCATCATATGGGAAATGAACCAGTCTGTTTTATGAGTGTTGAAGGACAGGAACAGTGGAGGCGGCAGAGCTGGGCTGCATCATGCACTCCTTTTGGGACCCCCAGACAGGAAGATTATGGCACGCTGTTAACTCAGACAAACTGTATACTGTAACTGTGAGGTCAGAGCAAATGCTGCTGTGGGTTTTCCTTTGCTGGAAAAATAAGCACTTGAAATATGTTGCATATCTATCAACATACTGTTTGGTTTTGAAGGAATATTTGGGGGTTGGAATGAGGTGAGTTAGCATAGCTTGGCATAAGCTCGGCACAAGGCAGAGCAGCTAGCATGGCTCCCTTAAAGTAAAAAAGATTCTTATAACAACACCTCTAAAATTGGATTATATACACACAGTAAACCATATATGTAATCCGTGCATAAAGAGAAATGCTGAAATAACACTTTGTGGTTTCAGAGGAGTGTGTCTGCTGTAACAATTTCTTGATGAACAACAGTTAATTTATCTAGTACTAATGTGTAGTATTTCTAGACAATGGTGAGGTTACTAGATACCCACAATATATATAACCCATTACTTCTTCTATTCCTCTTTGAAAAACAAATTATTATTAATAATAGCAATAATAAGGAAATCATCTTACCAGTTTAGTCTTGCAGCACATGCACATTCTTTAACTGTCAAGGAGTGGAGGATTATTAAAAGGGGATTCATTAGATAAAGTTTCCACCTTGCATTATAAAATCATCATCTCAAATAAATTGTGGATAGATGTCTGCCTGCATTGTCTGAAAGCTGGTGTCCCTGTGGGTCAGTGAAAGTTTTCCAGTGGACAGCTGTGGTAAGGATTTCTTCGGAATTGACCTCGTTTGCCTGTTTTTCTCCTCTTAGTGTCATTTAAATGATGCAGCAGACAGGAAACATAAATATCTCTGCTGTCTGTAGCTCAGTGCCTTTCCCAAGCACTGCAGCAGTGCATGCATGGTGTGTGCTCCAGTAACCGGATAAACTTTTTTCTGTGCCAAAGGGTGTTGTGACAGGAAAGGGATTGCATTTTCTCAATATTGTCATAAGCTGCTAGTTTAAAAGTTCACAGCTGAACTGCTTAGAGCCTTTCAAGGGAGAAGTTAGGAGGCATGCAGTGATTTGCACATCTTTTCTCTGTTGTGCTCATGTGGCTTCTAGTCTTTTCATATATGAACAGATGTCTGCAAAATCAGGTTCTAGTCTTTTGTGTTACTGCAGACTGATTTCTTTAACATTTAGAAGTTAAAAATGTATGAAAAGGCAAATGTTTTGTTACTCTGCTTTTATTTATAATGAACTTGTAAAGTTCTAAGTTCATTTAGTGTTTTTAGACTTTTAGTACGATGTGATTTTCCTTTTTGCCATCAGATTGATGTCCACATGTGCAAACTGCTTTATGCTCAAATGACAGCACAACAGATTCTTTTCATTTTAACTAGGAGAGAGCAGCTCCCTTTTTGCATGTACAAGCCTGTGCTTTCTGTCAGACTGTTCTGATTGTTATCTCTTTATCTCTCTCCATATTTTTCAGGTGGTCAGGGCTCGACTGGAGGAGCGAGGTGTGGTGGTACGTGACGTTAAGCTTAATGGCTCAGCAGCCAGCCACGTGCTGCACCAGGACAATGGCCTTGGCTACAAAGACCTGGACCTGCTCTTCGGCCTAAATCTGACTGATGACAAAACCTTTCGGCTGGTGAAGGATGTGGTGCTGGATTGCCTGGTGGACTTCTTGCCTGAAGGGGTGTGCTGGGAGCGAATCACAGCCCTCGCCCTGAAGGAGGCTTATGTGCAGAAACTGGTGAAAGTTTGCAATGAGACGGACCGCTGGAGCCTCATCTCTCTGTCCAACAACACCGGCAAGAATGTGGAACTTAAGTTTGTGGATACTTTAAGAAGGCAGTTTGAGTTTAGTGTTGACTCCTTCCAGATCACTCTGGACTCGCTGCTGCTCTTTGACCGCTGCTCGGAGACGGCCATGTCTGAGACCTTCCACCCTACAGTGCACGGTGAGAGCATGTATGGAGACTTTGAGGAAGCCCTGAGTCACCTCCGCTCCAAGATTATTGCCACCTGCAGCCCAGAAGAGATCAGAGGCGGTGGGTTGCTCAAGTACTGCCACCTGCTGGTGCGGGGCTTCCGGCCTTCCTCTGAGTCTCAGATGAAAAATATGCAGCGCTACATGTGCTCCCGCTTCTTCATCGACTTCCCCGACATAACCGAGCAGCAGAGGAAACTGGAAGCGTATCTGCAGAACCACTTTGCGGGCATGGAGCACAAGCACTATGAGTACCTGGTTACGCTGAGACGCGTGGTGGACGAAAGCACTGTGTGTCTGATGGGCCACGAGCGCCGACAGACGCTCGCACTTATTTCTGCTCTGGCGCTGCGCATGATGGCCGAACAGAATGCTATCCCTGCTCTGTCCAACATAACCTGCTATTACCAGCCTGCTCCCTATGTTAGAGATGTCAACTTCAGCAATTACTATGTGGCACAAGTTCAGTCTCCCATGGCCACATGCAGTAACTCTTACCAAACGTGGCTGCCCTGCAGCTGAGCAGCAACTTTTAGGATGTCTGGAGAGCTCTCTGTCTTAACTTTATGTTGATGTAAGCTGGGCAATCATTAGAGTGCTCGGTGCCTCTGTAGCAATGAGGCTTTTTTCTGAGATGCAGTGTGGACATAAGGAAATTTGTGTATCTTTTTTTGCCAAATCTTAAATCAAACCATTCCACTAAGTTATACTGATAATACTGCTGTCAGAAAATCTCATTCGAGCCAGTATAATTAAACCTTTTTATATTGATGTTTGTTCATAGTCAGTGTTGGCAGCTATGGACAAATCTGAAGGCTTGATATGTGACAGAGGAACTTTGCTAGTTCTGTTTCTTGTCTGATGAAGGCGTGCATTGGGTCTTTAATGAAATGTAAAAACTTGATATGAAACCAGAAGCCTATTTTTTTGTTCTGTCTGTGGTTTCAACTAACCTGCCGGGGAGGGGGAAAAGGACCAAAGAATTCATTTCTTGTGTAGCGTGACAAAAAAAAGACTGTATGTGGATACAAGTGCCTGAAATTGACAAATGTTTTTAAGAGTAGTTGCTATGTAAGAACTGTTTATGAAACTTTTTGATCCAGGTTACTGTACATCTCTATATTCAGGGTCAGGGTATCATTAAAAATGTCAAAACTTTAAAGATGTGGTACACTGGTCTTTCTTTACACTATGACGTTTGTAGAGGCAAGACGAGGACAGACTGTTCTATTATGCTCCAGTTGACTCAAATTAGTTCCAGCATGTGTGACAAGAATGTTACTATATCTCCACTGTCTGCATCTCACTGTCTCAGTTTCCGTCTCTAAAAGTCTCCCTCTATCTACTGTAGCTTTCACTATCTTTCTCGATCACACACTAGCTCCTCAGTGAGTTCTTGTCTGTGTTCCATCAGCCAGACACTGACTGGCTTGACACAAACACTTGCTTGTTCAAGCTCTGTGCATTTTTTCTCCTGCAGAAACAGATTCTCTGTGAGCCTGAGCCTATACATTAGCTGTTTCCTGCTACATGCCTCAGACAAGGAGTTTCCTTGGCTTCACTGAGAAAAGGGAGATTGCTGTTTTTCTTGAATGAGCTGAGCTCTGAGGGGGCTGCTCAAGGTCCAGGTGGTAAATGAAACTGGTTTTTCAGCAAGTGTGGTGATGCATTCCAGCACTGCCTTTCCTGGATGGTCAAACCGTCCAGTATTTCAACTTCACTCAGTCCAACATTTCTCATGCTATGTCATTGAGTCCTAATGACTTTTGCATGAGGGATGCCTTTTTGAGATTTAGTAGTTTGAAATGACATGTGGACACTGGATCTCTGAAAGGTCACACTGTTTGTCACCCTTGGGCCCCTGTGAAGAGCGCTCCTCTCATAAATATTAATGGCCACTGTACCAAATGGGGCCACTGACTGTTAACAAGGCGTGTGGAGGATGGGAGGGAGGCTTGTTCCAATTAACACTGCAAGAGGCTTCCCCATTTCACTAGGGCTGGGCCCACACTAGAGGATTTTACATAATCTTAACTGATTCTAAAAATGTGAGCGACCACAGACATAATGACAGCTTTAACTTATTTTTTCACATATTACTCTTAAGAGCACATACACTAGGGGATTCAGTCAGGAGGCAGGACCACACACTTTCACTGTACAATTCCAGAGATGCTGATTTCAGGGACCATGGATCTCACAGACACTCATGCAATCAAAATGACTTCAGAACAAAACAAACATGGAGGTGGACATTTGTTGTCAAGCGCCTAGTGTTTGTGTGTGATATGTTTTGCGCAGAGAAAAAAAAGGAGAAAATTTGTGAATGAAATCTTCAACACGGCTTACACATTTTGCAACGTGAGCTGGAGGCAAGTTGAAAATAAAAAAATGAGGAGGCTAGTGAAGGTGATTACTACAAGAAGCTGTGACACTTCCTGGCGTGCTCATTGTCATTGGCTGTTGCAGGTGACTGTTCAGAATTGAATCACTGTTGCCCCCACGCTACAGGATTCCAAGTCGTAAATACTAAACATGCTTGATACTTACAATTCAAGACCAGAGGCCCTCACATCCTGCTGGAGGCGTAATGATTAGATCTTTCAACCCCTCACACAGGATCATTTCACCTGAGAATCGCTTCTGAACGGCCTCACCTGAGGGAACGCCCCCCACAATTGTTGGGAAGGGCAAATTAGGCCCAAAATCAAGCTAATTATTTTGTAGTGTGGGGCTTGCTTAGGAAAACTAATAAACCAACCTGGAAAAGCCTGGACCCTGCTCCTGGTGTGTGGAGAATAGAGCTCTGATCCCTCAGGCTTTGATTGCCTGCCGCCCACTTAGGATCAAACAGACTCTGCCAGCCACATCAGTCCTCTACCTGAATAACCAGTGGCTGTAAATTCAAATGATTCATTACCCTGCACTCAAACCTTCAATGCACCCAGCTGAGTTAAAACTATAGGGGGCCTTGGTAATCATTTGGCCTCAGACATTTGATATAACAATATGATATGAATAATATGAGCCACACAGACTAGGTGTACTGTGCCTCCCCATGAAGGCATGAAGGCGATCCCATAAAAAAGCCTTAGCACATCTGGCTCTCTGCTGATTTCAACCACAGCCAAATGATCTGTAGACAGCAGCCAGGATGAACAAAAAGGAGTTTCGTTTTGGTCCAAGACAACCACGAGTCTGCAAACTGGGGATAAAAACTAGAAAAAAAACTTTAAGGGGGTGTTTGCTTGTTTTGGAATCATTTGGATAAAAAAAAAATCCCAGCTTTAATAACTTTCCTGACTGTGAAACATACTCTTTGAGAAACTCCAAAAAAATCATCAGTGAAACTATGTACAGTATGTGACACTTCACAATGCACATTTCACTTGAAAGGATCCTTTTAAGAGTTGGCATGTATAAAACATACAAGCTGAAAACATTATTTCAAGCAACCTGCATATGCCTCCTGCCTGCTAGCACTGGGGGTTACTTTCTTATGCACAAAGAATATTTCCCCCCTTTGCAAAGATCATATTCATTTTGCCAAATCAGCAGTCCAGCTGAATGTGACAAGTGCAAGCGGGCATCAGTTTTGCTTCCAAAGCAAAGGGGCAGACAGGAGAAGCAGGTTAGATGATACTGACAGTACCATATACTGTGCATCTGCTCACATGCAATGACTCACATAGATTAGTTGAGTTGTAGTCACTATTTTCTGTCCTACATGATTGCCCTATTCACATCTTGACAAACTCATGTAAATCATCTCGGTCATACCTTTCCTATTTGTAATTTTGTTATGAATTTAAATTAGAACCAGTTGGAAAATTATTTGACAGTCACAGGTGTGCCTTTGGCCTGAATATACTCCAGTAGAGGGAGCTGGGCTTCAGACACTGATGAGGCTGCTGGTCCAGTAAACACTGGGACACTGTTCAGCGACTTCCAGCATAGTTTTGAAGCAATGCTTATTAATGGTGTTCAATCTGTCCCAAATGTCTTCAGAAGTTGCTAGAAAAGCACTGGTTAAGGACTTCATGAAAAACCAACTCAGAATTCCACGGGATACTGTCAATAAGATCACCTTTCACCGTGGACACCGCCTTGGTCCACGTTCCAACAAAACACCCTGACCGATAATAGTGAAACTGGAACACTACAAACACAAAGAACTAATTAAAAGTAAAGGAAAGGAACTGAAAGGCACAACATTTGGACTCAATGATCACTTCCCACGTGAAATAAACGAACGACAGAAAATCCTCTACCCCATCATGAAACAACACAGGCGGAACAACAAATGTGCAAATATCATTGTGGACAAATTATACATTGAAGGACAGCTCTATCGCGACTCAAACATTACCCCGTGACTCTTCTGATTTTCTACAGACCAACCAGTGACTGCTACACTATATGTTAAATACTTCAGCCCCTTTCATCACCCTGGTCCCTTATACAGAGCAACCCCTATCCCACACGGACTCCTACAACCATCCCTTGCATCGGCGCCCCTCTTTTTACTCTGTTATTCTATTTGTGTTTTTGTTTTATCACACCATGTGGAAATGTATACTTGTCTATATTTTGTTGTACTGTTATGCCCACATCCACACTCTAGCACTCTAGTATATACACACACATACACACACACACACATCAACTCTAGATCCTGTTAATCCTATTTTATGTTTCGTTTCTTTTTTTTTGTTGTTGGTTTTCCCCCTTCCTCTTTCCTTCCCACGTCTTCCCTCCTTTCATCTTACGAAAAGATATCTATAACAAACACTCACTCAGTCACTTAAAATAGTGTCATGGAATGTGTGTGGATTCCCGAACCAGGTTAAGAGGATTAAAATCATTAACCATCTGATAAAATTAAATGCTGATATATGCTTTCTACAAGAAACCCATCTAACAAATCCAGAATCACAAAACCTTAAATGTAAACAATTAACCAAATATTTTCATTGACATATATCAGTAGGCAAAGAGGCGTCCCAATTTGAATTATTAAAAATATCCTATTAATTCATAATACATCTATCACTGACCCGGAAGGCAGATTTATAATTAGGTATCCATTAATCAGACAACATAATAAGCTGCTTTTATTGGTAGTATCTTATCATTGTTGATTTCTTTTCTCCCTTGCTTGCCCTTCATAGACTGCATAAGTTGGAAATGCACACACTTCAAGTTTGGAATGGCAGTGTTTTAACACCTGACATATTGCCATGAGAACTTGAAAAACTCACTTCACTGAAGGCTATTAGATATGAGTGAAAACACTGGAAAATCCAAACAAAGCTTGTAAATGGACCTTGAGTAAAGACTTTCCCCCCTCCTCAAATTACTATTTAGGAAATCAGGATGAAAAACTGAATTTGTGTGTGAGTTCAATATCTGGTCTTGCCTCTAACTGTACATCACACATTTTTTTATTATTTCCTTTGCATTCTCTAGAGCTATTTTTCCTCAACTCTACAGGCTGTAACTCAACAACATCAGTCACCATATAGTCAGTTTTGTCAGCTTTATTATGCTTCACATCCTTCTTGCATTAATATTCTACTGTTCTTTATACATGTTTGTCTGCATTAATGGGCCAGTCACATGAGATGCATTTCACTTTAAAAAGTCTGATTTATACAATGGAAGCTCCTTTCATCTCCAGCCATCCATAACTCACTCCTCTTCTCTCCCTCCTCCCTCATCTCTGCACATTCATCCTCCTTTTGCCATTCTCAGATTGATCAAATATTTGCTCTTCTTGGGCCCCAGCCTGTTTATTTTCTGGAGTGTGTTTTCAACAGTGGCTCAACAGTG